CACAGACAAGAAACTCAAACCACCTCATACAAGAGAAACCTGGATGTTTTTCTTGCTGGGATCTTGTGACCCCAGCTGACTTTCTGCCCCTGGAGCAGGGGGCTGGACTCGATCTCCAAGGTCCCTTCCAGCCCTAATGTCTATGAAGTCTATGAAGCTCCAGCTGCCAAAACCCCAGCAGCACTGTCAAGCCCATAACCCAGAGCATACTAAGCTGTTATAGGTTTGAGGTGACTGCAAAATAATGGGATCCAGGAAAAAAAAAAAAATGTATCAAAGGAGCACAGAGCATAGTGGCTGAGGCTCAGCTATGGAACATGCTACCCAGCGGCAAGGCCTTTCCCAAACAACATCAGCAGAATGTGCTCCATGGAACTTGGGGTACTGACTGCACTGCAATGGATGAGGTTGGTTATGTTGTTTTGTCTAATGGACATCTGCAAGACAGTGACAACAGCTTTGCTGTGCTTTGCCCTAAGGGAGTCAGATGACACAACTGAGTGCTTAGAACAGAGCTGGGTGTGCTTAAACCAGAGACCAGCTTGCTGGAATATAGTAGTTTTAACACTAGGACTGCATTTAAAAGCTTGTCTCTAAATCTTTCCCAACCTACATAAATTCTTGCCCCCCCCCCTTTTTTTTTTAAAGTATTTAAGAGCTTTGCAGTGTCACTCTGCAGCCCAAATCGGCTGGCTCAGACTCCACACATTTAGATAAATGCATGATCATCATTTTCTCAATAAAATGAAGTAATACTATGGATTTGTGTAGACAGCTTAACACTGATGTATTACTTCACTCTGGGCATGTCTACACAATACGCTGTAATGTGCAGTAGCCTATTCTACATTAGTGTGTCACAGCCAAAACTGTGCTAATCCACAGTAGAATTAGCCTACCGTGCATGAAACTTCCCCAAAACAGCTAACCACCCCCCAAAGCCCTCAAAAAAGCAAACAAACCTGTTTGCCTTTGCTACTGCGCATTAGAATGGGTTAATGTGCCTTTATGTAGTACCTCATATTACAGGTACCAAGTTTAATGAATGTGTGGACATGCCTTCTATTGCCTATCAGAAGACCTCCAATTACTTTGCAGATGGTAAGCTTTGGAAAGTATTATTCTTCCCATTTGACAAAATGCAAACTCAAACAGCTTTAGAGAACTTAGTGACAAGTCACGGGTCCCTTTGCTTCATATGCAAGACCAGGTAACTCCATTCACTGGAAGATGCACCTTACCTAATCGCAAAAAGGAGAAAAAAAAGAGCCAGAACAGACACAGGATTGGAGCTGCAAGGGCTTGATTCACAGCTGCGAAGTGGATCTTCTTCTCCAGCTTTGCAGGGAGAAATGCATAGTAAAGATTGTGGCGGTCAACCATGTGCTTCAGCAGTATATATATCAAACCTGAAGGGGGGACAAAAGCCAAAGACAGATTAATGAAAGGCTTGTAAAACTGACAGGGGAACCATGCAGATGTGATACACCAAATTATTTCAAAGGATCAGATTTCAAATCAACCCTGCTGACTCTCTTACCCTACATAAGTCAAGATGCTCCCAATTGCAGAGCAGGGACAGATTAAAAAGAGATGGGAAGTCTTTGTTATGCTTTTATTTAAGCAATAACCTTTGTTATTTGACCAATCTGAGGTTTATTTCACAAACTATGTAGGGAACAGGTTTATTTTTTCTGTTTATTTTATGTCCTGCACTAACAACATAATTGTGCAGATGTGGATTTGTGTGGGTTTCTATCAGCTTTCCACCTGTTTGCCTGGGGCAGGAACTGGCAACCTACAGCCCATGGGCTAGATCTGGTCCTTAGATCCAGGATGCAGAGCTCCAGCTTTGGCAGTGGGGGCTCTGCCCACAATGTACCACAGTCAGGTGCCTAGGGCATGAGCAGAGGGGGCTCTCCCAATGCTACCCCAGCGAGAAGTGGTGGAGGCAACTAGGTTCTAAAGCCCACCAACCTCAGAACCGAGCTGAGTCATTTAGGCCTGCCCCCAGAAAATGTTGCTGACTTCTGATATAGGGCATTAAAAGTGAAGTAAAGACTACATGCTTCAAAGGAAGGACAAACTCACATAAGTGAACTTGTTAACAAGGAAACTACACCCAGTTATTCTTGTTATTAACATATATATGCTCTGCAGCTACACTGAAAGAGCACAGGGTGGCATCTGGTACAGAATCTGGCCCCCAAAACATTCCAACATTCATCATGAGACTATTATATGCCTACAGCAGGTGATAAGTACCACTTATAATTAAAAACACTACATATAGTACCTCACATTTTGACAATAGCAGATTAGCAATAAGTAGTAAAAACTAGACATCAGTTAATTATGATTTTTTTTTTTTTAAATTGTACAGCACTTTTCCTAGTAAAAAGGCATCAATTGTAGAGTTCTAGTCAAAATCCAATTTGGGTAACTACATTATGCTTAACCCACTCTGAAGCTTCAGATTAGGAAAGAAAGAATACTAGAGCAAACTGTTGTGCAGTACTGCTTCCATCTGAAAAATTTGCTGTAAAAGTGCCAACATTTAAGTGGTTGCATAAGTGATCCCTTTTATAAGTTTGTAAGGTTCTCTGAGAATCAAAGGGCATTTTTATACATGCTCCGGGGTAGGGCAAGCATTTTACTCAGAGTGGATCTCAGGAGCTGGTCTAATTAAAAATTTCCGCATCTTGTGTATTCAGCATCCCATGTTTCAAAACAGTGGCAGAAGCGCATTAACCAATGTTCATTTAATGAGCTTTAAAGCGCCCTTGCTGCCATTTTGAAATGCAGGGATCCTGAATATCTAAGACGCTGCAGCATGCTGGACTGTCCCGATCAGAATGCTTCAGACTCAGTTAATCAGAACACACTGAAGCGTGTGTATAGGTGCCCAAAGATGTTATATAAAGGAGAACAGAAAATGAGTACTACTTGGTCAGGTATGTCAGAGACAGCAGAAGTCATGGGAGCAGTCAGCATCAGGGCTGGGATAACTCTGAAGTTCTTGGCTACTAGTCATGTGCTCAGATCAAACCTCTCCTTTTCCTCCTATGGTACACACAACTCAACAGCAAACTTACCAAATGGGACAATAATAGGACATGTGATACTATAGGCCATGATGACGGTGAATACGCACAGCATCCAGGCATACATTGCTCCAAACTCGTATTCAAATGCTTGTTGCTAGGAAAAAGAAACCCACCACAAAACGTTAGAATTTCAGAGACTGAATTACATTTACTAAGGCAACAACTCTGCTTATACCTCATTCCTTCCTCACAACAGATAGACCAGTTATTTTCCTGAAAAAACAACAACTTACAGTTCCATGGAACCCAACTACAGATGCACAAGAAGTATAATATTATTATGTGCTTTGAACAAATATGGATGTAGCAAACTGACACTTCCTTTGAGATAATTCCTTCAAAAGCACTCAGGCTATGAGGAAAAGCTAATTCTAACCACAGGTGTAGTGTTCCTTTGCTGCCAAAACTGTGTGCTGTAGAGGCAGCTCTAGTTGAACCCTAAGGATGTTACAAACACTATAGGACCCACATTTGTGTAACTGTAAATGTGTACACACACAGGACCAATCAATGAGCCCTGCCTGACTTCTGTTAATCAGAGAAAGGGCTCAAGATATACATTTTTATTCTCAAACCAGATTTTAAAAACAAACAAACATACAAACCATAGGGGCTCATCTATTACAAAAACAGAAGCTGTTTGTGAAAAAGCAAGATACGGACAAAAAAGGGGGATGGAAATAATAAACATCCTGAAACTCAGCAGCATTCAGAATCTAGATTTGGATATGCATCCATCTCCAGTTTTAGTGATAATGTTTCACAGATCCCTATACATCCACACTGCACTAGGCAGAGAGGACGACATGAGCCTGTTAGTCTGAACAAAATAAAAGTTGAAAAGAATGATCCCAGATAGCTGTTAACAGCTGCAAAGAATGGAAGTGCACATGGTTTCTTTGTGAAGATTAATCATCTCTTTTAGGCTTTTATCAACCCTGGACTGAAGAGACCCTTCTACCTGTTTAATGTTTTTCCTTTCAACAGTGGACCTGGCCATTATCATGCGTATGGTGTACAGGATGAGACCAGGTAAGCGCAGCAGCTCCATCCCATTGCCAATGAAAGCAGAGGCAATCACATAGTTCACAAAGAAGGCTCCCTGGTCAGGCAGGAACACACATCTGCAAGGAAGCAGAATCAGTGGACGGAATGCAAACAACCAAGCAGACAGAGGGGAATAAAAAGACGGGCTTGTGAAAAGAACAGGTTGCATTTAGAAAAATCTGCCTTTTGGAATAAACACTGGACACCTGACCAAAGATGGCTGCAAGATCTTTGGTACTCTGAACTCAATTACACAAATTTAGTGCTGAATTATCTACGCAATAGCCAGGTTATATTTTGTAAGTGCTATTACATGGAAACAGGAGCATCTGCAGTTGTACTAAGTCCAGGGAGAAAGTAAGAGGTCTTAGGGCTTTTAACCTTTGTATTTTCAGGAATAAGCTGGTTAGAATTAAAAAACAAACAAGCAAGCAAAAAACCCACTGCATGATACTACAATGGATGGCTTGTACCAGCAGTGGTCCCAGCCTCACAGTGCTTCCAAATACTTGCAGTTCTAGAAAAGGTATTTGTACCACTTCTATGCAACAGCTTCCAACACAATCTCTTGCGTTTCTTTGTGTTTCTGAATTGGTGCTGCTTTGGCCTGTTGTTTTGTCTTATTCTAAGATTGTGAGGTCTTTGGGGCAGGAACTTTGTTTTGTATTTATATACATTATCAAATGCAAAGAGGGCCTGGGCTCCAAGTAATCTCAGAAGAATTCATTTCTCATAGTTTCATAGATTTAGGGTCGGAAGGGACCTAGTAGATCTTCTAGCCCGACCCCCCGCCAGGGGGGGAGAACAACAAAAACCCCAAAACAAAAACAGGACTCAAATGAGTCCAGCCAGGTAGGCATCCAGCCTCTTCTTAAAGACCCCCAGGGTAGGGGCCAGCACCACTTCCCTTGGAAGTTGGTTCCAGCTCCACCCTGCACTTGTCCGTATTGAAACGCATCCTGTTCCTGTTAGCCCACCCCTGTAACCTATCCAGATCCTTCTGCAATCTCTCACTCCCTGCTAGTGTGCTCACCTCCCCACAAATTTTGGTGTCATCAGCGAATTTAAACAGGTTACTTTCCACCCCATCATCCAGATCGCTGATGAAGAAATTGAACAGCGCAGGCCCCAGGACCGAGCCCTGGGGGACTCCGCTACCCACCTCCCCCCAGGTCGAGTATGACCCATCCACCTCCACCCTCTGAGTGCGACCCTTCAGCCAATCTGCAATCCATCTGACTGTGTAGGCATCTATGCCACAGTCGCCTAGTTTTTTAACTAGGATGGGGTGAGAGACGGTGTCAAAGGCCTTGCTGAAGTCCAGAAAGACTACATCCACCGCGACACCTGCATCCATGGCCTTTGTGACCTGATCGTAGAAGGCAATCAGGTTGGTCTGACATGATCTCCCCCTAATAAATCCATGCTGATTGCCCCTGAGCATCATTTCTGATGCCGGCCCATCACAAATGTGCTCCTTGATGATCTTCTCAAAGAGTTTCCCCAGGATTGAGGTAAGACTGACGGGCCTATAGTTGCCCGGGTCCTCCCTCTTCCCCTTCTTGAAGATGGGGACCACATTTGCTACCTTCCAATCATCTGGCACCTGGCCCAAGCACCACGATCGCTCATAGAGCCGTGCCAGGGGCCCTGCAATAACCCCAGCTAGCTCCCTCAACACCCTGGGGTGGAGAGCATCCGGACCCGCTGACTTGAACGCGTCCAGCCCCTCCAGAAGCTCTCTAACCCGGTCCTCCCCAACCTGAGGTCTGAAGGCGATCCAAATCTCCAAATCATCATTCATTCCAAATCTCTATAGGGCAGGGCTGTCCAACTGGTGGCCCATAGGGATTAACATATGGCCTGCAGCCTCCCACCTGGCTGCCTCTTCCTCCCACTGCACTTGCTTCTGCAGCAGCCAGCCATAGTCTCTGGGGAGGGTAGACTGGTGGGAAGGGACCCAATGAACATGCTGCCTCTGTGGTATGTGGACCTCAAGGTATGCGGCTGTGCAGCATGGCCCCTGGCAGCTCAGAGGTTGGACAGCCCAGACACATGGCTTGTGAAGAAGCCCTATGCAAATACACTCAAGAAAGTTAGCTGGCAAAATAAAACAAGTAATTAATACTTACTCTAATCTGACTGTAGATTCAGCTGATTCTCTGTCAAACAGCCAACGAAAAAAGAAGTCAAGACTGGAAGAAAGATGGTTAATATTAGCCTCCACAGTTCAGCAGTTTTTTTAAAAGCAAAACCAAACAAAAGATGTGCATACAGGAACCCAACTGTTCTAACAAACACAGGTTTTAAATGAGTGACCTGAATTCTGCTCTAGCCATTATTGTAGTTACGGAACACTCTGCGGTCAGAAGTGGGAAGCCAAACTTGGAGTCTCATCACACAGAAGAGTTCGATTTCATGCTTATGTTTCAAAGTTTTAGCTTCAGAAGACAGCATCAGGATGGAGACAAGCACACTCTCTAAGGACAGAGCCATATTATAGAATATTAGAACCTCAACACAATCTTTACCTGGTCAACCCAAGAGAAGGCAGAATCAACACCATGAAGATCAAAAAAATGTAGACTTTATGCATTACTATTCTGTTTTCTCCAGACCTACCAAAGAGAAAAAAGGCTTATTAAGGAAAGACTTTTATTGCTAAACACAATCCTCTTCATCCTCTTCTATCTACACTAGTCCTGCCATAAGTACAGCATGTATAACATTCTGGAAAACACACCAATTTATTTTGGTATGCAATATGTTATCCATGAAATAACTAAATAACACTGGAGTCTAGGGAACCCATGCAACAGAAAAGATACCATATTTTCCTCTCATATAGCCCACACCCTTTCCCCCAAAACTAGCTGGGGAAAATTAGGGTGTGCATTATATGCAAGGAAAAGGACTCCCCATGGATCTGAAATTCATTTTGGGGGGGGGGGGGCCATGCAGAGGAGAAGAACAGTGGCAGTATTAATAGCTGCAGCTCATTAATTGTCATAGCCTCCTACTGGCCCCCTCGCCAAATTTCTGGCCACACTGGGCCTTACCACTTGGCATGCAGGATCAGGCCAGTGAGTGGCCCCCAGCCCTGGAGACCCCAGATCCCTGGTACTAGCCTGCATTCTAGGGTAAGATTTATTCTTCTTCTTTGGAACTTCCAAAAACAGGGTGCATACTATATTCAGGTACATGTTATATGCAAGAAAACATGGTACCTTCAATCACTACTAGCTCCTAGTTCAGCTAGGTGAGATCCACCTCAATATTAAGCACATTAACACAAGGAATAAAGTTCTTCACCTGAACAGTCTTGTTCAGTGGTGCTCAATCTCTGGCCCATAGGCCAAGTACAGCTGTGAGGCCATGTTATCCTATCTATGAGGCTTCCCACAGGTCTGCAAATTTGGTGGCAGGGGAATGATGGTAGTGTCAGCTTCTAGAATCGCAACACTTAACATCATGCTCCCACCACCATTATTTCCAGACCTGTGGGGAGCCCTGAAAGCAAGATAACACAGCTCAGTCTGCTGCACAGGTTTGCTTTAGGGCTAGATCCAATGAACAGGGCTGGAACTGGTGCATGGGCTTGTGAGCATTATGAGCAAATCTAAAACATAAGATTGTTAACACCAACTAGGCTTTGCTGGGCACATGAAGCAGATCAGGAAGTCTGTTGGGCCACAACATGAGTATATCCATTAGAATTCTATCAAAAGCAAGAACCATGCATATGTCCTTTTACACTTTCAAAAACAGATTTAAAAGGAGAGAGGTGGTGGACCCCACCTTTAATGCAACTAGCTAGTGGTTAAAACACTTTCCCAGGAGGTGAAAGAACTGGGTTCTATGACCTCCTCACCCCAATGGGGGTTTGAATCCACATCTCCAATCCCTCGAAGAAGTGTGAACAACACCTAGTGATAAAGTTGGGCTGAGATGGGAAAACTCCACATCTCACTGAAGACTGAGGCAGAGGGAGAATGATGCTGCAGTCAAATGATAGGGCACTCAAATGGTATGAAGCAGAGTTCTAGGTCCTGGGCACTGCTCCCAGAACTGTTCATACACTTTTTTTGTTCACCCTCTAATGCCAAATGCAGCAACTGTCCTCATTGTTGCCATGCCTAAGCCCCTTTGAGGATCTGAGATTGAGTTTCTTTATTTAAAACATTTTCTTGCCTAATGCGGGAGAAACCCCCCCACACCATATAACTGGATACTATCCTATTGCGTCATCAACTGTGAAAGAGGTAATTCCCTCAAATGTCTAGCAAAGAGGCCTATTAGATTACACCAGTCAATAAAGTACTTCAAAAAGAAAATAAGACTAGTCCTTTTTCCTTATCCAGAGGAGAGTAGATGGGACACAGAGAATCTATTTTGTATGAGATGCAAGACATCTTCCAGTTTCCCCAATAATTGGCTTTATAGGATAAAACTAAAAGGAAAATGTGTTGCTTACTTTGTCCAGTGGGATTCCAGCAATGTTGAGTAATAAACCATTGTTGGTAGGAGAGCAGAAAAGGACCACAGGAGAACTGTTGGGAAGAACTGACTAACAATTGGATCCTAGCAAATAAAAGCATTAAGTAAGAACAGGTGCAAACACTCCAATGCAATTGTGGTAGAAGAATAATTGTGACAGGGATTGACTTTCTTATAAATAACCAAACTGTTAGTCTCAGAACTGGCACAGGACAATAATATTCAAGGCTGAAAATAGGGTTTGAGATTACATACCAAGATACACTCTAATGCAACTTCGACAGGCAAGATTACAAGCCCTCGCCCTCTTCAAAGTAGTGTAAACACCACCTGATGACAATGTTAGGTTGACATGGGGAAGCTAGAGGCAAATTCTCACAAAAACAGGTTGTATGAGATTTCAGTGGAAGGTGAACTGGAACTGGATGCTCATACTGGTTTGGGATCCAACTGGTAGATACAATGTAAGCGTGACCTGCATTTCAGAGTTTAAAATCTGAGTCCTCACTTCCAAAAAATATGAAGGGAGCTTAGATCTGAGATTATGTTTCCAGTTCAAATGTAAAAAAATATTGTTATACAAGTTTAAAGGTATTAAATTTTCATTTTGTATTAAAAATACGATTTATGAACATGGAAAGCTTTAAATGAATTCATTTCAGGCTAATATCAATTAAGAAGCAGGACAATACTAAAAGAACAAAAATGTAATGTTTTACATCAGTTTAAGTCTGTGCTGGGCATTTAAACTAATGGAGAATGAGTGTATGGTTGAGTCTGACTAACAGACCAGGCAGGCCCGGTTCCTGTAATATTTTACCATCAGTTTACTAACGTTTTGATATGATGCAATAATACTCACATTAAGGTAACGAATAGGTTTAGTGACATTGAACTTGTCCATGGTAGAGATGATTATGGAAGGTGTAGTCAGAAAAAACAGTACAATAAAAAGGAGCATATTAATACAAAACCACCTCAACCACCATTTTAGCCCACACACTGAAAAATTCTTCCTGTTAAGAAAAAGGACAAAAGAGAGGCAGTCAGTATCTTGTCAGTGTAGATAAATACTATCTGTCAAGTGACAGGTAGATGGTGCTTCTTTTTTAAAACTAGATATTCATACACATAGGAACCATAATAACAACTCCCCAGAAATTCATTAAATGAGTTCCAACTGCCATTAGTCATTAATTAGCAAAATGAAAAGTTAGTGTAACCGTGTTGGAGCAACTCTTAGACTGTTTTTTCTTTTTCTTTCTTAACTCAGGCAATTAGAACCCAATTAAAAACAAAGCTTTTCTGCTTAACAACATATTCAGTCTTGTTTAACAGACAAACTCGCCCTAGTTTAAGTTATATTAAACTAGGTTTATCACCACTGAATGTCAGTTCCATAGGGATTCGCAACAGAACGCCCAATTGCAGACAGGGGATATGTTCACATTTGAACTATTGTTACGTATTCAGTGGGAATCTCAAGAGTAGATACATGGTAAATGACCAGGTATGTTTTTAAGGTACCTGGGTACTTTCACACTTATACTTAAAGAGAAGAGAATGATAACTGGTAATGACTTTAATGTCTTAACTACTTCTATTCAACAACATGAATTGAAATAGAGCATAAAGGGGTTTCAGTCTTACTTCATTTCAATTCTTACCTCTTGTCACGATGGAGACCTTTTGCAGGCTAACCAATGTTGGCATTTTAAACAAAAGAAAAATTGATGTGACATCAGCAAAAAAGTGAAGAGTGTCAAAGCAATAACTGGCAACATGGTGAAGGAATTGAAGTAGGAAAGAAAAATGGTTGTCCTTTGTTTGAACAGTGGGGTAAACCACACCTTCTCCAATCTAACATTCTCTGAAAGCCTTTGGGCATTTAATGATCATTTTGTTCACCTCCAACGTAGCCATGCTCTGTTAAACAGCAGGAGGTCACAGCAGAAAGTGAATGAAACTAAAAGGGGGATTTTAGGTAGGAAGAACAACTCTGAGAGCGGGACTCTGACAAAACTCATTGCAGTAATAATTCTTAAGATGAGACTGAGGATGTTTAATGACCATAAAGGTCAAAGCCTTAACATTGTGTGTTATCTAACAGGGCACCTTCAAGTTTCAAAATGCTTTTAGAGTCCGTCAAATTCTAGTACTTAGATAGAAATCAGGAATGCCCAAGTTCCAGTCTCCAGTTCCAGCAGTGACTCACTGCAAAAACATAGGTAAATATTTATTATACGCTACATAAGGGATGTATTATTCTAAATTATGGCTTAAAACTTCTCTAATGGATAAATACATTGCTTAAGTCTCCACTGTGATTATGTCAAGCAGTGGCAACTTGTAAACTGTTTTTCCCCCCTTATAATGCATGTTACGTTGTTTTAATATAAAAGAAAAAATCACTTGCAAGTATATTGGAAAGAATCCATTGATCTGTGGGGTCTCTCTGGCAAAGGGGAAGGTGAGGAGCGACGGCTAGGGCAAAACAGTGACTGAACAGTACTTACTAATTTTTTAAGTTTTCCCCTATTGGTGGCACATTATGTTTGCCAAGTTTACTAGTCCACCAACACTTCAAAAGGCAAACAGTGTTTAATTACAGAATAGGGTGAAGTGCTATTTTTTTTTTTTTTTTATAGAAATCAAACACTTTCATAACATTTAACACTGGTACAGGGCTAAATGAGATCCTTAGATCTCATAAAATAGATCTACACTGTCCTCATTCTGCAAGTGGAAAAGTTGAGGTATACATGTTAAGAGACTGATTTTCTTTGAAGGCGATAGAAACTATGGGTATCTAGAACCTCCAAGGAGGAAAAAGACAAGTCAGCCATAAGTGACTTACCCAGGGTAGCTAATTCAAATAAAGTAATAAAATAGAAAACAGTCAAAGTTTGGCTAATTGACCAGTCAAATATAGGTCAAACTGTAAATAGCCAATAGGTCTAAATAATACAAAGAAAAAGCACAAATTTTCCATTACGAAATGTGTCAAAAAAGGTTTAAAATCATATTTCCGTCAAGAAAACTTCAAAAAGGTAGGGTTTGTGTGAAATTGCTACAATCTTTGACCAGTCAAAAATATGCAGTCAATTGACAGTATTTGACGGGTCAATTGACTGGTTTGCTAACCCTAGTTGGAGATAGAAAGAAGAAGTCGCAGATATCTCAGCTTCCAATTTTCTGCTCAATTCACTAGGACAGTTATTCACAAAATTGTTTTCTTCAATGCAATCCCTTCTCCCTTCCCACAAAAAAGCCCAATTTTCTTCTGGCAACAGACAAATAACCCAATTTCTCTCATCTGAAATTTAAATTATGAATTAAAACTTAATAAAAGACAGAATTTACCAACAAATATTTTCGGGGTAAGTTGCATATGTAACATTCCACTTTGAAATGCAGAGTTCTTTGCTGTACGTGGATGGCTGAGGTTCCCCTTTACACTTAAAACTTTGGCATTTGCAGGCATTGAAATCTTTAAGGATACTGGAAGAAGAAAGAAAATGCAGTTTTACACCTGGAAGCATCACATGCATAAGTAAGGAGATTGCTAAAGATTAAAGTTTTTATTACACCAGCTTGAGACTGTTATTGGATAATACATGCATATCATGTAAAACTGCAGTAACAGAGAGGTAGGTAGCCATATTAGTCTGAGGTCAGGCAAAAGGCAGGGAAGATCTGCACCTTTATAAACAAAGTCAGAGATGCACAGATAGCATAAGCATGAATAATGACACAGCATCTGATGAAGTGAACTTGGGCTTATGAAAACTTATGCTATACATCTCAGATGTGGTTAGTCTTAAAAGGTGAAACTCTAACCTGCCTTATGCATGTAACAGTGAAATATACATCACAGTTTGCCTCTGTCAGCTCTTACAGGTATCTAACCAATAAAAGCTTTGCCTTAAGTTGCTCAGTGGGCTATCAACAAAGAGGAGCTTTTAGTGCCACCTGGTAAAAAGTCTTAGTGCCTCACATGCCTTTCCAAAGAGCTCTAGTACAGCACAAGCCACTCATTACAAAGCAGTGGATTTGTTTGTATTCTTACTCAGGACACTGAAACTAAAAGCCTGCCCTAGTTTAGGATCATACTTCTGAAATGTTTTTGCTACGCTGGTGATGTTCTCAAGCTGCAAAATCTCTTCTTCCCCTTCTCAAAATGTAAATTTAAGACATGGACATCATCTCCTAGAATCAGTATTTAATTGACATTTGTTAAATTCACATCCAATAAAAGCATGGGAAATTCAGGGCATTTATAGCTTTCCCAAACACAGAACTGCTAAGGTTCAAATTCTAAAAGGCATGATAACTACGAGGGTTTTACTGTTAAAAATACACTGTAATAGCTAAACTCTGATGATATAAAGGATAGAAAAAGCATGCACTGTATTTCAATGGATCACCTATCTGAAGTACCTGAACACAGTAATCACGCTTCAGTCACATTTCTTACATGTCAAAAAAAAACAACTACAATACAGTAACCAGTGTGGATAAAAATCGATGCTCTTTCATTTTAAAAATAAGATTTTATTTAATCATATTTTTCATTTTATGTTAAGATGCTTTTAAAAAAAAACGAACATATAAAGATAGTTTTAATTTAACATATGTTAAAGCTCAAAGAGATCATCATGGAATAGGGATTGTAACTTCTAATTATATACTATTTGACCCAATATATGCAAGCAACCTTTTTAGAAGTTTTATAAATATGTCACAACAGGCCATGGACTACATATGGGGCCCAATCTCATGGGGTTCCCAGAGGCTCTTCTATAGATTAGTAAAGATTAAAAAAAACCA